GCCCCTCCCCCAGCGCTGCCCCTCCCCCCCCCCCGGGGCCGCCCCCCCCCCCCGGTTCTCGGGGCTGCGGCTGCTGGCGCTGGGCGAGGCCGGGGGGGGGGAGGGGCTCCTGCGGCGCCTCCTGCGCGGGACCCCCCCCCTGAGGGCGCTGGAGCTGCGGGGGGGCGGCCAGGTGAGCCCCCGGGGGCTGCTGGCGCTGCCCTGCCCAGGTGAGGCACGGCTGGGGGTGGGCACACACCTGGGCACAGCTGGGGGCACACCTGGGGTACACCTGGGATACACCTGGGTACACCTGGGCACACCTAGGGTAGACCTGGGCACACCCGGGATACACCTGGGCACACCTGAGACACACCTGGGCACACCTAGGATAGACCTGGGCACACCTGGGATACACCCGGGATACACCCGGGCACACCTGGGCGCACCTGGGATACACCTGGGATAGACCTGGGTACACCTGGGGGCTCCTGGGATAGACCTGGGGGGGTGGGCACACACCTGGGGGGTGGGCACACACCTGGGCACAGTTGGGACACACCTGGGCACACCTGGGATAGACCTAGGTACACCTGGGGGCTCCTGGGATAGACCTTGGTACAGCTGGGGGCACCTGGGATACACCTGGGGACACCTGAGATACACCTGGGGGCACCTGGGCACAGCTGGGATAGACCTGGGATAGGCCCGTGGGGGTGGGGACACACCTGGGGCACACCTGGGCACAGCTGGGATACCCCTGGGGGGATGGGCACACACCTGGTCACACCTGGGGGGATGGGGGCACACTTGGGGACACACCTGGTCACACCTGGGGGGATGGCGGCACACCTGGGCACAGCTGGGGGGATGGGGGCACACCTGGGCACAGCTGAGGGCACCTGGGCACACCTGGGGAGGACGGGGGGGTCACCCGGGGAGGGGGGGGATGTGTCACCCGCTGTCCCCGCGATGTCCCAGCGCTGCAGCGCCTCTGGGTGGCGCTGTGCCCGTGCCATTGTCCCCGTCCCTGTCCCATCCCTGTCCCTGTCCCCATCCCTGTCCCCTGTCCCTGTCCCCTGTCCCTGTCCCCGTCCC